TTCTTAGCCCAAAATCGCTTCTCCATGTTCACCTTTATTCGCAGCTCCTTTGACCCACGTGTTTGTCAATTAAGGAACAAAAAAGAATCACGTGTTTAAATGCTGTAATACCGATGAGCTTCTGCCGGTGGTTTTACTGTGTTAATATCTAAATGCAATGCTTTTATCAACGCTGCTTTTAGCACATAGCTAAAAATCTGTCATTTTGTTAAAAAATCCACCAATGGTGCCTGGGTACTTGAGTAAACCTACTTGAAGCCTGTTGTTCATTAATTCAATGAGGCGTCTTCGTCTAAATAGCAACTTCTCGCTTTCCTTCTTGAAATCCTCCACTTTCTTTTGCATGTCCTTTAATTCTGTTTGAAGCTGCATTTGTCTACATTCGCACGTCAAAAATTGCTATTTAATAGTTGCATTAAGTTTAATAAAAAAAAGTATCACGTCCGATCGACTGCGTCGAATGCATTGTTGATCGCAACTACTTATGTACTTTACAGTAGCATGATCTTAATAAGCAGTTTAAAATAGATGCAGATTATAGGCAAATTAAATAGGGATCGAAAGTCGCAAAGTGTATTGTTAACTCACGCATCCGCAACACGTGATAGCTTGACTAATTCAAAGGAGGAATCTTCAATATGAAATTTTAAGGCATCATATGTTCCTTTCTCTCTTAGTTCTTTTGAGCAGGCCATAAAAACATTCCTTGTTTTTGATCTAAAAAGGCGACTTTAGAATAACCGGAATGTCCGCTTACATTAGCTTCTCCACTTTTTCGTTGTAGAGGTAGTCATCGGCATCCTTCTCCCTGTTGTTGGGCCAGTTATATTTCACCTTTTGGACGCTTGTCTGGGGCTCTAAAATAAAGAAAATGCATGCGTTAATACTACTTGCATTCCAACTTTATGAGAAAGAAATTTCTTGCTAAATACGCTATGCAAATCAAGTAAATGGAAGACAGTTCTGCAGCTGCATCCCAATGCAAACACTTACTTTCTATTATTCCAAAATTTTCGAGAATCTTGGCAGCTCGACGTAAAATTTTTGATGTGTCATCATTTTCCTCTGCCTTCTTGCGTTCAATCTCTTCTGGTTCTTCTTCACATCTCATTGATGACAATAGAACTCCGAGTTCCTCCGCTGTTGCCTCAAATATTGAGCCCAAGACAATAGATTCGACCTTTCCAAGAGCCATTTGGCAGAGCTGGGTGAAACTTATAGAGTAATTGTGGCATCATTAAATCTTATGCTATGAAAACATATACCACACAATCAAGTGTCACTTGTAATTAATTGTAAATTCAAGGAACTCAAATTCAGGTGGTGATTTTAGATATTTGACAGATGCCAAAAACTCAATCATATAAAGGTGCTGGCTTGTGTTTTAGCTTTCACGAATAAAATAGGAGCTTTATTATCTTTCGATTCTAGAATTAGTTTTTATTTCGGCCTTGCAAATACCAATACTTGTTTAACACATACATCCTAATTTATTTTCTTCACATGCTTGTAAATCTTAATACAACATTTGCCCTTAACCAAACAATCCATTTAATTAGTTTAAAGAAACATGTTATAGAAATGAGTTGCATTGTGGACACGAATGCTTTATATGGCATTTAACGTATCGGGTAGATAAATGAGCAGAAGAATGAAGCAAAATACAAAGCTGTTTGATGAATACTACTTTAAATCCTTTTGCATAGATATTCACGCAAAACGACCTCAAACGTTTACCGAACAACAGCCATATCAATTATAGAAATCCAAGTTAGTGAAACAGTACTGGACGAAATGGGAGTGATAAAAGTCTCTATTATGATTTGAACTAAGTCTGCTGACAAAGAGGACAGATCATGGGCTACAACGCGACTAGTTAAGCGCAAAGTAATCCTAATTCTACTTCACCTTGATTCCGATGCCCCAATTGTGTCAAAGTAGAGACATAATACAACCCGTGAACTTCTCTGCTTAAGGAGTCATTGCATTCGTAGCCGCACAACGCTTCCTATTCCACTCAATTTATGCGAACTCATGATTAATCGTCTACAGATTTACTGGGAACAAAAAGGGAAACGTCTCTACGCTCAGTCCAGGTGCTATGTTCCATTCATTTCAGTACTGATTTTTTTGAACACAGCTAAACCTTGCACTTAGATTTGTTAAGCATTGTGAAACTCACTAGGTAGCCTTTTTGCGTTTGCTCAAAATGCCTTAAGGACGTTTCCACAACAATAAATTAAATAAAACAACTAGTGTTTGAGCCCTTTAAGCTCAGTTGATTAAAATTGCCAATAATATCCCTGCTTTTTATTTCAGTAATTACGGTCCTTGCGCTTACTTTTCTTATGAATCCTAAAGCTATAAAATGGTATTGAAACCCAACGAAACTAAGAATTAAATGCACTGACTTGTCTTTTTGAAGACGGTTTTGCAAGCTCTACACATTAACGTCCTTTTCAGAATGTCATACGAATATACCTACTCAAGACGCACATCAGCTCCGCATCGCTCGCGAACGTCTCACGCGTCAGTCGGAACATCGTAATAAGACACATTGCAGACCCAACCGCAAATGTGCACTCGAATCACCACTTAAAACCCCCTCAAGTTCATTTTATTTCACAGGGCCCATTCTTCAACAGTAATTCAGAAAAACGAAGACTTTGCTATGGCATAAAGTACACTGATCTACCCTTAGCAAGCTTTAATAAACGACAATTCGAGTCTAGTAGCGAAGCCCAACCCCTACCGAAACTGCGGCATTTAGCAGCAGACCCTCCCGAACCTTGCTTTCTTGGGTGACCTCGCCCTCACGCCGTACAAACACTTCCATACCCCTCGTAGTCTGGCCGCAGTCCTTCCACCCGAGACAAATAGGAAGACAAAAACCTCTATTTTTAGTCGATACAATATCCGAGAAAACTAGTAAGGTAAATGGGAAGCGCACGAATAATGAGATGGGATGGATTATAAAAAAAATAGATAAGCATTGACCTCACAGAGCAAGAGATGCACAACCTAAATAATACCAGCAGGTTAGTGTCTGTTTTTAACTGCGATTATGAGGCAAAAGTACTATCACAGAAGCATTGAAGCAATCAGTGAGCAAGCCATCAGAATAAGTTAACACTCCTCTTCAAATTCAGCTTCCTCCACTTTGGCAACTCGGCAAAGGCACCACGAGACATATGAAAGGCGTTCTACAAGTTGTATAAACAAACGAAATTTTACACGAGCTCTGCTGCTGGCATGAAGCCGAATATAGGATCAACTTTATTCAACTACGAACAGCCAATTCCCATTGTACATTCTTGCCATCTACGCAAAGCGGAAGAAATCTACGACTCACTTCGAAGTCTTCGTCAGTCAGATAAATCTCCAGACGCATTATATCCACATCCGGTGGCCGTGGACACTGTTGCAACTCCTTCAAACTGAATTTCATATTCTCCAGCTGATTCAAAAGCTCGTCCACTTGGTCTGCTTGGCCAACGGATTTGCCGTTCTATAATCCATCCAAATGTCACAATGCAGAAGGGCCAGATAACAAGTTGTATTACACCCCAAACAGCACAGAAGCAATCTGCACCTCATAATGGTAGACAGAGACTCCAGAGGTTTCTCAGCATGGAGGTAGTCTATTTAACGTGAATACTTATCTACATGGGCTCTTCAGTTCCCATAACGTGGACACCATGGAGGCTTTTGATGGATCGTAAATAATTTACAACCTTTTTTTGCATTGCCGTCCACACTATCAATGCTTTGGTTCTTATAGGAAACAACCGAGTCGATGCAAGTGACTTACGCTGAGATGGTAAGCTGCAGCCTCCTCAGGACGTGAAGATGGTGGGAATAAATGCAAAAACTCATCCGGCTCGATTCCAGCGTATACTGCCACGGCCTGTGTTGTAGGACCAACTGAAGCAAAAGGAAGAAAAAGCGCCCCTCCTTGAGGTACTTAGGAAAGACATTGTAGTTCATTTTCTTTTTCCGCTGTCTCCGATGAGAGGCGCGGTGCTAGCCCTTAAAAACTCACGACTGGAAAGCTGCTAAGCCAAAAATTCATGACACCAATTAGTCGCCTTTTGTTTGTCAGTAACATTCTCACTATTACAGTGTGTGAATAATCACAGAGGATAACACTAACGAGAACCTGTTGACTAAGTCTTGAGGGACTCCGGAGACGGAGTCGGAAAAATATGCCAATAATTGCGCTGCGAAGCGGTTTCTCCGCAATCAAAAAACCTCGGCCTGTTTTCTGAACCCAATGGCAATTTTTAAGATGTCACTCAAAGATTCCCAACCTGAGGATGATGATCCATTCTGTAAAATAAAGGTTTAACCACACTGTCAGAAAAATTGAATTGTTACCGATTCCTTTCAGACTCTTTCAACGCCATTCGCACAGCTAATTAGTGTAAAACAGAGATCAACATCAACACCCACTCCGTTGAGCTAGGGCTTGGGCACTTCGAAGAGCAGCCAGCCTGGCGGTGACAAATCGATGCAAGAGACTGGACACTCCAGGCGAGAGGGGCGAAGGAGGTGTGAGAGACGGTGTGGTGGCGGCGGTGGTAGTGGTGGAGGAGAAGGCATGACCATCCGTATCCTCAAGTGGAAGGCTGAGAGGTCTTAGCGATGATGCATTGGATGTAAAATGGTGGTAGGAATCAGGACTACCGTTCCAGCGCGTCCGTACGCCATCTTCGCTGGTGGTAGCGATAGTAGAAGGAGAAACGGCTGCCGAAGAGGAGGGTGATGGCAGAGCAGATAACGGTGAGGAATTGCCCGATAATGCACCTCTATTGCAGTTCTCGGGCCACCAACCGTGCCACAGGTAAACTCTATCTTTACCCTGCACCACCAGGAAGAGAGCTGTAAACAAACAGTGTCTCAGTTACAGTGGAATGCAGATTTTGTCTACGTCCATGTCTAAGAGGAGCATGTCTACCCACTCATCCTATCACCTGCGGTATTCCGAAATGCCAGCCATTGCAACCCTTGCAAGACTACCTTCAGAAAGTCTTCTGAACTAACAACCTAAGTTAGGGCAAAATGGCAAACCTGGACATTTACGGACCGAACGCACAGCCTCTTCCTCTCACCACTAATGGGCGTATTAACGAGTGTTGGCTAAATGCAGTGGAGAGCACTTCAACTTTTCGGATTGCCAAATCAACATGAACTCGGCCCCACCGACGCTGACCCAAAAAAACTACCGTAAACTTCCGTTTATGCCATTCACACGAAGGGCAGCAAACAGAATTTACTCTAACGCACTATACTGCAATGCGACGGAAATAGATGACGTAAACAATTTGATTGGGGTGGTGACTTACTCAACGAGAAAATCTCGCCATTTTCAATAATAAAAGACGTTTTCGACTGGAACACGATGTAAAAGACGAAAGATCGATTGTGCTCACTTCTAGTTGGATTATTCAACTCCCTGATTGATAATTTCAAAGCACACACCGCCTAATCCTTACCTATTCACTTGGTAAATCTTGCAAGGTGGGAGAAGGAAGGGTGAGAGAGCTGTTTTTTTTATTTATAATGGTGGTGGTGGAGGAGGAGGAGGCACGAGGAGGCGTGGTGGAAGAGGAGAATGTTGCTAATGGTGATGCTGTCCTGTCCCCAAGCTCTTTCAATCCTCCGTGCTTCCCCACCAACCATACTTTCAACGTCTCCTTGGCGGTAGCATTAAGCGATTCCAAAAATTAGGTATGTTTGATGACTAGAGCTAATAAAAATTACTTAAGGCAGACAAACCGCACAAAATTTTGAGTATTCGATAAATCACTGTAGGTTGCAACAAGTATACCACCAAAAGAATGCTAAATTTGAGCATTACAGAAGAAAGCCGTTTGTGTTGGAAGAGGATCAACTATTGACACATCTTTGACAATGGAAATGACACCTATCTAGTGTTGCAGAAGAGAGAAAAGAAAAGGTGAACTCCACCCACGCTTAAACTGTCCATCATACCACCATCATTGCCATCTCTCAAGCCTATCTACGAATCTGACGCCGGATGACAGACTGGTCAAGCGCACCTACCGGGTTGTTCAGCGGCATCGAGATCGCCAAGGAGGATGGGAAAGGTGGGAATGGGAAGGAGAGGCGAGAAGAGACACTCAGACTCCACATAGGTGTTCACTTCAATTCCAAAGTCTGCTGCTGTTGTGATATCCGGCTCGAGGACATAAGGCAGCCGATGTGGTGACAAGTGCTGACCGAGAGTGTAGATCAGCTGCCACACCACCAAACGCTGCACCTCTGGATTGTGTTAGACAAAACCAAAAAAAGGTTTATTTAACCAAGATGTGCTAAATAGGGCCAATGTATGCCATTTCGCATTCAGGCACAGATACAAGAAACTCAACTAGCCTTCAACTGCTATTTTTAAACCGTGTGATGAGGTCGCCTCATTAACGCAATAAATTTATAGACATCTGACGTAAATAAAACCCAAAGAAAGCCTTTTTTAGACCTCAGAACGTCAACTACAGAAACGAATGACAGAATTGGATGGAGTAATGATGGAGGAAACATTGTTGTTACTCACCATGTTGTATGGCTGGTGAAGGTGTGTGCACGAGAGTACCGCCG